TGGGGCATGTAAGTCAATGGTAACATAGAGAAGGGGGGGGGGGCTACCTAAGTGTATAGTTATGATAAGAAATGGTGCCTCTTTCAAAATTGTGTACACCATGGCCTCTCTGGTTTAAAAAATAAACCAAAAATGAACCAAATTGAATGGTTGAAAAGTTGTTGCTTGATGCTCAGGTGACCTATAAGGCCCATGGGCCTCTTGTTTAATTAAGGGGCCAGTAAAAATTTTGGTGGGCCAGTAAATTTTGAAAGTTCACTGGTCCGACTGGCCAGTTAGTTTGAAAAGTTTTCGTGAAGACTGTTATAACACCTAGATGTCAAGGTAAATAATTTGTTAATCATAAATAAATAGCTCATTCCTATTAAATCTCAAACCAAACAGAGCAAAATAATTATCATTAAAATTACATTCTCTTCCTATAACGTGTAGATTTTATCCTTTACTATGATGATAGGTGACTTCCCTGAATCACAAATATTTCCGAAGTCATTTGGAGGATTCTCTGTCACTCGGCCGTCCACTTCTGATTGAGGATATAGAGGAAGAACTAGATCCAGCTCTGGACAATGTTTTGGAAAAGAATTTTATTAAATCTGGCTCAACATACAAGGTATCATTTTTATTTGTGTATTTCATTTGAAAAAGTTTAAAGGTTTTTTTTTGTGTGTGTGTCCTAAAATGATGTCACCCCCACCCCCCCCCATCCCCAAAAAAAAACTTTGTTTTAGCAAAACCCAGCAGTGCCACACTTTTTCAAAGTAAAATTAAAATATGACTAAAAAAATTTTGTTGTAAGTCTTAACAAGCATAACACCAAGAGGGAGATCTTATGTATAGTATAAAAACTTGTTTTCAGTGTACATGTGAATTGAAACTCAATTCCAGAAAAGTAATGGAGTGCTGCAGCAAAAGAAATCATACAGATGGATTTTAATTAGTGATAGTCTCTTAATGTCAGATTTGGTTTACAATATTGCTTATAATCTATTGTTTTAATCTAATGTAGGTCAAAGTTGGTGACAAGGAGTGTGACATAATGAAAGGATTTTATTTGTACATGACGACAAAGTTAGCAAATCCAGCCTATACTCCAGAAGTAAGGTTCATTGAGTGGTTTATACTTTATTTCATATTTGATGTTGAATTATTGAATTTTGAATATACTCTCATCATCAAAACTACTACATTAATTTCCTAAAACAGCTTGTGAAAGGATTATTTTTCAGTAAAATTTTTAAAATGTGTGATCTGCTATTGATGAAAACAGATTATTTCATATTGTATACTAATTTTGAATTAGCTGTTAATGGTAATAAAAATATGAATGAATAATATATTTGTATGCATTTATTAAGGCCATAATAAAAATATTCCTAGATTCTCATCCCCAACTGCCCTGATTTTATACCCCCGCCTCGATTTTTTTTTATTTCTGTTTTTCTTCATCTTAATTCTGATCGGGATCGGTATTCATCTACTATTCTATCCCGCGAAAGTCGGCATGATTTTGACAGCTGAAATGACGGTAATTGCTGTAATATATGCGTATATATTTTAAATAAGGGTCATTGGTTGAAAAAGATTGGTGATGATGTGAAGTAAGAGATAATTGAACCTTTACTATGACTTTTATTTGGGTATTGTAGATAAAATTACACCGATTGACCAGGTCAATAAAAAATCTGCAAAATTTAAAAAATATAAAATAAAAGCCGCCCGCCCGCCTCGATTTTTAAAAAAATTTGGATGAGAATCTAGCAATTTATTTATTATGGCCTAAATGTGGCTAGAAATAAGTACATGCATGCACATGTGATTTTAAGTGTTTATTTGTTGTGAATCATGATTCTGTTTTCTAGGTGAGTGCTAGGACATCAATTATAGACTTTACCGTCACAATGAAAGGATTGGAGGATCAACTTTTGGGGCTTGTTATTTTAAAAGAAAAGAATGTGAGTATTGTTCCTGTCATGGTGCTTCTTTATTTAAAGCAGGGATTATACAATTAGTTGCTTTTCTTCATAACAGGAACTGGAAGCTGACAGAGCAAAACTGATGCTAGATGTGAATTCAAACAAGAGGAAAATGCAAGAATTGGAGGATAACTTGTTATACAAATTGACAAGTACAAAGGTATTTTTTCTTATTTCTTTATTAAGGCCATGCAAGAAATGTGGGAGTCCTAATGAATCTTTCAATCTCTCAGTTAATTCTTTTTTGTGATGTGATAAATTGAATAGTTTTCAATATAAAAGTTTAATTTTTACTGAAAAAGTTAAAAAATAAAGCTTGATGCAGCATTACTGAGTGCCTGCATGTTTATGGTATTAATAATTTATGACTGGAATCTCCAAAAATGGCTCTGTTCATAAAATTAAAACAACCGGGCAATACGCAAATTTCGAGATTGTAACTCTCCTACGATAGAGGCGCAAAAAGTATCCATTTCAGCATGGAGGTGGGAAAGGTTGTTTCTGTATACAAATGTGAATAAATAAATAAACAATATTTATGGCATTTAAATATATTAAATTTTATTGATTAGATAATAATGTTAAGCAGTGATGCATTTGATGATTTTATCAAGCTTAACTATGCATATCTCATCTCTTGTCTGAAAAGTCTTACATCCACTGATATTTTCTTTTTTTTAACAATTTTTTGCTTTAAAAAATGATGCTTTTACATTAATTTGGTTCTTCTTGAGTTGTAGAGTGTATCCTGAAAATCATGTATATGATAAACCAGTATATGGATGATACAATGTATCCATTATATAAATATCTGTCCCACCTGTCTGTTTACCAAGGGAGATAATCTCAAAACTTGCGTATTGAAATATTATTATACCCCCGCAAACGAAGTTTAGGGGGGTATATTGGAATCACCATGTCCGTCTGTCTGTCTGTCCGTCTGTCCGTCTGTCTGTAGACAAGATTTTGTCCGCACCGTTTCTCAGGAAGTGTTGGATGGATTTGTCTGAAAATTTATACACTTATAATTCACCATGTGAAGGTGTGCACCTGAGATTTTCATCATGATTGAATGATTTTTCTGCATTTTACAGGCGTATTTTCTTTTTTATTTTGTGATTTTGTTTGGGTCATAACTAGAAAACTATTAGACTTACAATCATCAAACTTGGACAATTTATGCATCTTGGGTAGACGGTGTGTCACGACCTATTTCAAGGTCACTGTGATCTTTAATATAAGTGATTTTTTAAAAAAAAACTAAATCTTTAAAATTTTAAATTTCATAATCCTTAAAAATGTAAAAAATATAGTTGTATCCTTATTAAAAAATGCTAAATTAAGTAAAAACTAATTTTTTGTCATATACTTTACAGCAAATTCTATAACAAATGTTAATGAGTTGAGAGGAATTCAGTTTGTCCCATGGGCATAATTATCAAGCACTGGTCAAGGAGAATTTTTGATAGCAGAAATGTGCATGTCAAATTAGAGAGAAATTAATGAGTTCATTGTCGGGGGTTAACTGGCAAGAGCATCTCTAGATCTAATCTTAATTTACCTCTTGGGAGTTGGGTAAAAAGAAATGGCCTTGTAGTTGCTTGTGTTAATTAAGAGTTCTTGATGGCTGTAGTTCAGATAAAGATCTTTCAATTGGTGTAATGTAATTAAAACAAATTGATGTTTTAGTGTATGATTAAAACTGAATTAGTATTGTATAATATAATTAAAATTAATTATACATGTGTTCATTGAAAAAAATTACATTTCAATTTTTATATATTTGCAACAAATTGCAGTCATGTCTCACTTGAATTTTATAGTCTAAAGAATAATTAATTTTTGATTTTTTTTTTATTAGACTGTAGCATTTCCATTATTTCATAATATTGTAATAAACAATTTAAAGCTGCAGATGGATATTTGTTAAGCTCTAACACAGCCAGTTTAGAATTATATGATGTATTATTTGTTTTAATTAATCCCTACATTGTAAGTCTCTTAGAGATGTATGTACAATATTTTAAACATGATAAGAAATGGAAATTAGATCATTGAAATCTGTGTCAATCTGTTAATTAAGGTTACTTAATTTTCTTGCACCCTAACCAATTTATGATTATCAACAATATTTGATGGGCTTATCTTGCTGTGGCACGGCATTTTATTAGACAATAGTGAATACCTCTTACTAGATCCATAAAATATTTCTGAATTGGCACCTACTCTGAAAAACCCAGCGGGGGTATTTGTCCCTATTGGACAGTTCTAGTTTTAATCAAATGCTTGAAAACCATTATAGTGGACTGACATTATTATAATTTGTTGGAACATTGATATAATCTCGAGTTTCTACTTTGAATAATGGAAAAAACTAGAGCCGAGCTCGTTGCAAAGCAACGAATAGGTCTTCCATTGGAGCTACGGACTAGAAGACGAGGTCAAAAGCCACAAACTAAAGATATACAAGTAAAAAACCTTGTAAGAGAACCTTGTAAGAGAAGCAACTTACAATGTTTCGCTAGGAAAAAGACTGTAAAGGAATAGTAGTACGTGTGACCTTGATCTTTCCAAATAACCTTGTGCTAAGCAATAACTAACTCTCGTTAGAGCTAAAATTGAGATAAATAGAGTTAGGTCAAGGTCAAAAGAAAGGCCAAGTTCAAAAATGGTGATGCCATTAAATAGCTCTCATCAGTATGCATCAATATGTGAAGTTTGATAACACCATTTTGAATGGTATGTTTAAAACTGAGCTAAACACTAATTTAAGAAAAGTGAGGTAAATACATGTATATAAAGTCAAGTTTAAAAAAATGTTAATGCAATTGCATAACTCTAATTAATTACTATCAGTATATAAAGATTGATAAAAATATCTTGGATAGTTTGTTTGAAACTGAGCTTTGAACTGAGCTAAAGGCAAAGGATGGAAGACGTCCGACAAACACCAAATGCCTTGGCCATATTCATGGCAGGGCATTACATGTCATGTATGATTATTGGTTTACATAAAAATAGGTCGTAACTTTCAGTCTCGGAATTCAACCCCTAAACTACATGTATATATGCATGTACAAAAACAAATCAACCGACTGACATTCTCTGCTTAGAAGGAAGACATTGTATTCATTTTGAGGGATGGGGTACTTATAGTGATGAGAGGAATTTAACAACCTGTCGGACCATGAAACATTATTTTGGAATGTCTGTATACAGCTGCGTGGCTTTTCTTAGAATGAAATTAGTATTTTTTGAAATATCTAAATAATTCTTTTATTGACGCCGTGATAGGCTGTATAATAGCTGTTCGGATATAGTGCCGTTTGAAGGTCCAACACCTTTCTTTTAATATAACCAAAGGTTCTAGTGATCTTTTTTCTGTATAGTCGAAATGCATGGGAGAAAGAAAAAAACGTATGGGGTCGTTCAAAAACAAATTAATGATTTGTGTTTTTCACCTACACAGACACTTTTTTTCTTCTGGTTTTCCTTTTTTGTGAATTGCCGTTTATTTTGTTTACAAGTTTGTGTTCATACCGCTGCTCAAACGCGCTACCAATGTGAGAGGAGAAAACAAGACGTCGTCAAGCAACAATGACTGACCAGATGGACGTTTATATACATTGTAATCATTATACAACCAAATATCAGAGCGAATCGATAATTTAAGTACCTAGTTAAATACATAGGAATTCAATAATTAAGGAAAGAATTTAATTTATATTTTATGATAAATAGGCAATAACGAATTTTCTAATTTTGTAAAATCGTATTCTGAAAGCTCTGGATGTACATGTATATGTTTAGCCGCTCTTCTATGTAAAAGTTCATACATATAAAACATGTAATTATTATCGGCTGCGGTAGCGGCCAATCTTTATGTGATTGTGTTAGAGAGTGCACATGGGGAAATGAGACTTTTTTTATTACTTCAATAAAATAATTCGTAAATTATAACAAGTAAAAATCATGCGTAAAATATTTCAAAAACTTGCATAAACTTAATATTAAATGTTGAAATATATTTCAATTTCATTGTCATTAATATCTCATGATCATTGATAATTTATGGTCATATAAAAAGAGTTTACATCAGATACTCCCCAGCCTGAGAGTGTGTAAGATTTGAAAAGAAATCTCTTGATTTTCCGGATAATGATGATGTGATTAAAGTGCATGGTGAATAAAAAAAATGAGGAGTTTTTCAACTTCTAGTAAAAATTGTTTTGAATTTGCTCTACATCTACAAATGACACAAAGATCATGAAGATATTTTTTTTTGATTTTGCACCGGTTTGCAGCATAGCCTGCTCTGCAGAAACCATGAGCATTATCACGTAATCAAGATCCAGGGTATCGAGGCTCGGAAAGGGCCACACCTTCATTTTGATGACAATAAATTCTTATACATCAATGAATATGATTTTTTTTTTAACATCGATAAATCTATTTATGAGCAAATGCGATAAAATTATTTTTTATTTTCCTTTGAAAACAGCCTGAAATAGAATTGAAAACTATTTCAGCTTTGAATATCTTGACGTGCTTTCCTGCATGTGAAAGAATTTTTCTGCTTTGCATCAATTAAATTTGTACTGACATTGTACATGTACAGGCATATAAAATATTCTGTTTATTGGACGAAATAGTATACCATTCTGTACAATATCATTTTAAGTTTAGTAGCAAATAACTGCAAACTCAAAAGTGCTTAATTTCATGTTGGATTTCCCCCTGTGAATTAGAAACATTAAATCCACTTACAATTATCATGCATGCGTACTAGTAGTTTAAGATTCATAAAACAATTACCACTTCGATAAATACAGGGAAAAATGGTGTAAACCTAGCTCGTGTTTTTTTTTTCGGCTATAAAAAGCATAAAACTTGAAATGAATAAAGGCGATTACGATTGATTAAAACAAGCTGAAATAGAGTGAAATTGAATGATATGAAAGGAGTCGACATGATCATGATGATTTCAAACCCAATTTTCCATTTGTAACTATCGGAGTACACAACTGATATTCAAATCGACATACCCGCTGCTATCTGCGGACACGTGCTTGTAAATGAGGACTGGGCTACAAAGTTTTAGACACAAAGCGACAAAGCTGGATGTAAACTGTTTATTACAAATACGTGAATAATAGTATATTTTAAAGTATTTTTTTAACGTTCAGTGTTTATTGATATAAAAAAAAAATAATGGAGAAACGAAAGAGTGATGGTAAAAAGTAAAACGTACATAATAGTACATTACGTATCACAAGACTTCCATCACTAATTATAATTATTTGCCGAAGCCCCTTTTAAATTACAATTTAAATAAAATACATTAAGACGGAATAGAGAAATAATTTTTGCGTGAACAGGCCAAAGAAAGCGATCACAATTCAAAATGATTTATGCACCAGTGTTTCGAATTACGATTAAATGAAAGATCGGTGAAGTATTTTTATTGATTTGATAAATTAAAAACATGATTTTCTATAAATTGATAGGTCTTTGTACACAATGGATTTTAAACACGATCACAGACACTTGCATTGTTTACGACAGGTGGCTGGTACACTAGTGACCTCGATCGACAGCGTGGGATTCGGGTGTTGGGTTACATAACTGTTACAAACATCTAGGCGATCTTGGAGATCGCCAAATGTATACAACTAATGATCGTGAATTATTCGATGCATAGAGTTAAAATAACTTATAATTGTTATAATAATCAATGTATAAAGATAGATTTAATATATTCCATTTATGAAGACGTGTTCACTATAAAACTAATTAATAATAAATAAAAAAGAAAGACTAATCGTTATAAATAATTTAATAGTGATCCGTAAAGCACGTATAAAGCCCTATTTAGAAGAAAATTAAAATTGAATACCATAGGGTTTATTACTGATAGGAAGTTTGTGTAAATTATACACATGAAGAGGTCTGATTTCCTTTCCGAATGAAAAACGCTACCTGTTTACCTGGCCTGCTTTCAACTACATATTACGCAATACCCCCGGTATAATCGAACACAAAACATTTTCATCAGATTAAAAAGGTGTCAAAGAACAATTTTGTTCGTATAATCCAGATCGAAATATTTACCGTTTTTGAGTTATAAAGCAAAAACTTTCAAGCTCCCTAAATCCCTAATCATAGGGGCCAGCCCCTTTTGAATAGTATGATATGAAAGCCCTTGCATTTATTCACAACTTTTGTTCAACATGTCTTAACAAAATATTTTTAGTTTTCAAGATAAAAAGGAAAACGTGTAAATTTTCGCTCTTTTAGGCGTTCTATTTTTTTACCCCTGTATAACGCCATTTTGAATAGAGAAATCGAAAAACAAAAAACGATGTGCACAACTTCAATCCTTCTGCTATCTAAAACCAGTAAAATTTCTGCTCCAGCTCTCGTGGTCTCTGAGCCTTTGTCTGGAAATGAAAGCATATAATTTTTCGTTTAAAGGGAAATAACTCAAAACCGGAAGTGACTTTTTGAAATTATCGACAGCACTCTGTTAGAGTTTATTACCGTCTATAATGTCTTAAAATTTGAGCAAAATCCATTGAGAATTGAGTGAGATATGAGGCCTCAAAGTTGGCGTCTAGTAAGAAAACAAAAAAAAGAATAATAAGAATAATCTTAATCTTCAGAATCAGTAGAAGGTCTTCCGTTGGAAACGGAAGACCTTAAATACAGCTTATTTTTTGTATGGAATGTTCTGACAGGGATCCCTAGTAGATGATGAATCCCTCATTGAAGTGTTGTCAGTAACAAAAGTTACCGCTGCAGAAGTCAGTGAGAAGTTAACTGTGGCAGCTGAAACAGAAATCAAGATTAATGAAGCTCGAGAAGAATTTAGACCAGGTATTCCTATTGAATTCAATGTGCAGTCAAACCTCTTTATCTCGTATGATAGGACCAAGAAAAAACTTTAAGATACTTTAATGTCTTTAATTTCATGTGTTCAATATATCACAATTTACAATATCTGAGCATTTCACCATGGTTTTATTTCCACAGATAATGACCTTCTCGTAGCGCAATATTTTTAATTGTATGAATAAATTTTGAAAACAAAGAAGTTATAGTAAACTACTATTATTAGGGAAAAAAACGCAACAAGTGACTTTAACCCCTTTTTGTCATGACCTAGGGTTATCATATACTGTAGAAGCACAAATTTTCGTGGGCATAAAATTTCGTTGTTTTGTAATCAAAAATAGTTTCGTGGGCATTTAATTTCGTTGTTTTGAAAGTAACCCTATTCAATATATAGTCATATAAAATTTCGTGTGGGATTTAATTTCGTTGAATATTGTTAACAACGAAATAAACGAAATTTAATCCCCCACGAATATTTGTGCTTTTACAGTATACATTTAACTGAGTTAATATTTTACTATTACCAAGTAGAAAAAAATCTGTTTATTAAACTGTATGAATAGATGAATGCATTGTTGGCAATATCTATGATGGCTTTATGTTCACGGAAAATTCCTCAGTTGTGAACATAGAGATTTTAAAACCAAGGCAATGTTTTCTAATTCTACAGTATCTGAATAATATATAGTTAAAGAATATATGAATGGAACTTTCAAATCATTTTTACATGTCCATGGTATTTGAGATATCAGAGTTCTAGAAACTTAAATTCATCTGTATCAAGAAAAATTTTGAAATTTAAATAATAAACCCATAGTTTTTCAGTGTTGAGAGATTTATTTGGTTTTTAACTTTTATTTAACACATAGGACAAATTTGAAAGCACTTAACTTTTTTTTAGTTGAGATAATGAGCAACACATTTTTGCCATTCATCATTATTCTGAATATGAAATGCAAAAACTGTTTAGAGCTGATTGCAATAGACCTAACGGATTACACTGTTTGTGACGTGCTAACGCTTTGCTTGTCGAGAAGTTTATTTACTACGTCACATTCTCGCCACATCAAAGGAAGTAGCCGAGCCCGCTTCTCAACCAAGTAAAGTCGATCAGCTGCAATATACAGCTTATTTGTTGCGTTCAAAAAATGGAGTAGACAGTCCTGATGTCGTTTTCTTGAATAATTACCTGCATAGTTTAATCCTGATGTCGTTTTCTTGAATATTACCTGCATAGTTTAATGTCTTTAAAAGTTGAATTAATCAGTTAAAGCATTTTATGATTTTTTTTCAGTCCATTACGAATACATGTATTTACATTTGTCGATTATTTTATTCTATCGCAAAATTTACATTTTTTCATATTTGCGTACATGTATAAAAATCAGGTCGATCATTAGATTTATTAGTTACGCGTATCAATCCAAGTCATGCATTCTGAGATTGTTGCAATTTAGTACAAAATACTGATGAAAAATAGAGCCCTCTCTCTATGCATATATTCGAGTGAAATGGTAAAGAGGGAAGGCTGGGGGAGACGTGTGCATTTACTATCAATTTTTTTCGATTGAAGTTCAATTTATTTTTGTTTTAACAAATTTTGTATGTATAGTATAGTTAATACCGAAGGACAGAATATGAAGCCTAAATCTAAATACACACGCACTTCCTGATTCCTAGAGAGGGGCCTGGCAGATTTTGGAAGTGAGTAGTTTTTTCTCGAAAAAATGATTTGAAATAAATAATCTATCTTTGACCAGCAAGAAAATAAATAATCTGTCCTTGGCTAGTACTTCACCCCCCCCCCCCCCCCCCCACACACACACACACACACACACACTCGAAATAGAGTTTCCCTTTTTTCTTTGGCAAGTCAAACTTTTTTTTCAGATGAAAAAAAAGAAAGAAAATAAGTCCACCTCTGACTTACATACAGAAATTTCACCAGCCATTTCCTGGGTGTCCCTTTACTCACACAGTGTTTGTAGTCATTTTCTCAGTGTGTATATATTATATATAGGCAGCTGCTGTAACAAGGATCAATCGTTTCTAGCTCTGTTTTTCTTTCACTTGTGTTAATACAATATAAATATTCCATTTCAAGTATGAATTGGTGATAAGTATATTGGAAGCCGTTTTCTCTAAACGTCGTATTATATTAAGGAATAGCGCATTAGATCGGGGGAAAATAAATTGAATTGCATAATTATTTAACATTGTCTTAGTATGTAATAAAGCTGTCCCAAAGTTGCTGAAATTGCACCTGTTTCTTTTCTAAATCCCCCTTCCCATATATGGAGGGTGTTTATGTTTGCAAAATCTCTGCAGACGTAGTGCTCAGTATTGTGTCCCTGTTATGGGTATACATGTACCTACTGCAATCTCAGTTTTATAAAGGATTTGCGAAAATGTGTTTTGGGGTACTCTTTAAGTAATGCACAATATCTAAAAATTCTGCAGCAGTATGTTGTATATGAGCAATCAGAATGGGTTAAATATTTTATACTGATAATTTAAAAAATTCAGAGTGCCAAATTACATTGTAACGAAAATACCAGATCATATTTTAAACATCAATGATACAATATAGTGAAATACATGTATGCAGCCACTGAAACGTTTCAGAGAGAGAGAGAGAAAGAGAGAGAGAAACTATCATGTGTATTTTTTCTATGTACAAGTTCTAATTTAATATTTTGACATAATTATTGACAATTATGAATGCTTCTCTTCTCGACAGAAATATTCATTAATGTATGGATACTAAAGTACATATTAAACTGATATGATACGTATGTTGGGGTATACATATAGAAAAAAAATCTATGTATACTTGTATTTAGCTCTAAAGTCCTTCACTTCAGGGTTTAATACATAAACGGAATATTTTTTTGTCACAGAAAAATCATTTTTTTTATCAGCAGTGATTTGAAACAATCAAAATGCTATACCATCCAAGAATGACCAGGACGAATACGTAAAAATCCAGCAATTTATATTGAACATGAACATGTACATCATTTTATATTGCATGTATACAGTGGCATATACACAAATGGCTATAAAATAAAATTATCACCTCGCCTACAATTCATTATGGACTCTAAAAAATGCATATACTATAAATAATGCTCTTTTCAACTGTTTAATGAGATTTGTGCAGGAAATATTCGACAAAAGGACGACTGGACTTTTGTAAACCCGTTTTAAACATCTGCGATGTGCATTGCAGTTGACCGACTTTAGCATGGGAGAGACGCGATCTCGGCTACTTCCTTTGATATGGCGAGAATGTGACGTAGTATTTAAACTTCTCGACAAGCAAAGCGTCAGCACGTCACAAACAGTGTAATCCGTTAGGTCTATTGCAACCAGCTATAACTTCAGCATCTCAAATGCCATGTCAAATACCATGGATATGTTGAAGTGATTTGAAAGTCCCAACGACTTGATCTTATAAAATTTTACCTTTGATGTTTTGAATCCTTGGATATGAAAGGTTTTTTCCTTGGTTGCATCAAGTTTGAGATAGCAGAGTTTGACTGTATTTTAAGATTCAATATCACAAATATTGTTAATTTTATCTCGCTTTACAAAATGATAAAAGTGAGTTGATCAAATATTTTATTCAATAGTTTATGTTGTTGTTTAATTGCTTGGAATCTTTTAAACTCATGAAAGAAAAAAGTAAAACAAGGTAAGATTTCTAAGATGTTTGAACATTCATTATAGTTGCAACAAGAGGCAGTATACTCTACTTTCTGATTTGTGATATGAGTGTGGTGAACAGAATGTATCAGACTTCATTAAAGCAGTTCTTGGGACTGTTTGATATATCAATGTCAAGGTAAGTGTTTCTAAATATTACATTTCAGTAATCATAGGATTAAAATAGTTTTAAGAGGTTTTATTTTTAACCCCCTTGAAAAAAGAGACATTGGTTTACACTTTTCGGAATGTCAGTCGGTAGACCAAGTATTGTCCACTCTAGATCTTGAGAATACTTTGCTTGAGAGACATCAAACCTGGTACTTTTGCAGTCTCTGAAAAGTAGATTACCTCTTCTGGCCCCAGGATCATGAAACAGACTTAGACTTAAGTCAAAATTTCAATTATCTATAAAATCTTTAAAACTTGGTAAAGGAAACTCATAATTTGCATGCAACAGCAGGCTGATGATACAAAATCAGAAAGCATTTTCATTTTGGGCTGCTTGACCTCTAAAAAATTTCAGCATCTAAGGCATTTTTTGACTTAAGCTTAAGATGCTTCATGATCCCGGGGCCTGATTTGTGGTCACTAGGTCAAGGGTCAAATACCATGATACTCAAAACACTTACTTCTTTTTATAGTAAGTCTTGCCATTCCCAGATTATCACTCAATGCTGGGTTGTGTTTCTAACTAAATAAGGTTTTTTGAACTTTGTGGAGGGGACGGTGGATTATTGCTCCTGAATTCCATGTTTCTGGAACTTGAAAGTGCAGGAAATCCAGAGCTGCTTCCACCAACCAATGGAGGAGCAGTCAGGGTTTTGAATGTTGCTCCTTGTCATATCCCTGCAACTTAATGAATGGGAATTCGAGGTATCGCTTCCCAAGTTTTTCCTTGATTCAAATGGCTGCATGTACATCCCTGTCCTAGATGGGTTGGAGAGTTGTTTTGAAAGTTGCAATCTCTCACCTTTATCCATCTATAAAACACTGACCCCTTCATTTTGTCAAAGTTTTCTCCTCAATACGGTCCTCGATTACTGGATTAGTTTATCATTTTGAACAGGTCACTCTGAGTTTAATAAATTTAGGTTTGGCATTGTAAATTGTTATATCGTGGGAAATTAAGGCATGTTTTGGTAATATGAGAAAGAAAAGATAACTCTCATTCAAAGAAGTGGAATCACTGCAGACCTCTTATTCCTGACCAATCTTTGTGTTCATGACAATGCTTAGAATCACTACAGACCTCTTGGCCAATCTTTGTGTTCATGGCTATGTTTAGAATCACTACAGACCTCTTGGCCAATCTTTGTGTTCATGGCTATGCTTAGAATCACTACAGACCTCTTGGCCAATCTTTGTGTTCATGGCTATGCTTAGAATCACTACAGGCCTCTTGGCCAATCTTTGTGTTCATGGCTATGCTTAGAATCACTACAGGCCTCTTGGTCAATCTTTGTGTTCATGGCTATGCTTAGAATCACTACAGGCCTCTTGGTCAATCTTTGTGTTCATGGCTATCATAGGCGCTTGGGTCAAAGATACTGTGTTTTTTCTATATAATGTATTGTCGAGGAAATTCGAACTATACTCTAACATTTTTTTTCAGTGTGCAGTGTTAATTTTTAGTTTTTTGTAAACCTTTCTGCTTCATATACACTAGAATGTCACGGAAATTCAATTTTATGCACGCTTTAAAAATGACATATCCCACTGTATACTAAAAAGAAACAAGGCTTGCAACTTCTTTTGCCCCTTTCCGTGCCCCAGACTCGATTTTTTCCTCTTAAAAGTTATATGCGCCGCTTACCAGCTGAATTACCAATCCCCATCTCTGCAAATAATTCTTATACAATGATAAAAATCCTCAGGTATAAACTTTTCATCCATCTTATATTTTTAAATAATTATTTTCTCTCCAATGTCGGCATTTTTCTCTCGTTTAATTCTGTAATCACGGAAGTCCCCGGAATTACAACTGCCAAAACCCAAAACGGGCGGACAGAAATTTATTTGACAGTTCTAAAAATTGCAAGGATCGGAGTATTTGGCGATTTAGAATGTCTAAAACATCTTACCTAATCACTGACAATAATATGATAGTATTAACCTGTATCATTAATCAAAGGAAATTAAACTTTAACATATAGAAGGAATGGGGGGGGGGGGGCTGAGTCTCGTCGATCCACTTGTTCAAAAGTGTGTATTGATCGAAATCAATTATTGTGTGAAAACTTTAACGAGCAAAAAAAAATTAAATGAGGAAATAAAAAAACAAAACAAAGAAAAGAAAGAAACGAAAGAAAGAGGCTGTCTAAACTTAAAACTGTATTTCATGAGAAAGGTGTGGGACGTTCAATAAATATTCAATGGGCATAAACTCTCTCTCTCTCTCTCGATACAACAACTATTTGGCACCAAATGTGTAAAAAGTGTGAAGGGTAGAAGATGATGATTAACTTTTGTTTCGATGAAAGAAATATACTGTGTTAGGGGACAATGTACATGTCTACAGATGCCAACTTGAATCACCCCCCCCCCCCCCTTCCTCCGTCGGGCATAAAGTAGTTCTGATTAAGCAACGAATTCTGGTGTAACTGGTATTTGTATTGAGCTGCATATTCAAAACTAGATTTTTTGTAATTTTTTATTTTTTTTGGTAAAAATATTTTTCATGCAATCAGATAAATTGTTTAATAAGATTTAACTGGTGAATATATTCTGGTTGCAGGCATATACACACCTTTCGCGTCTTTCAGATCAAGTCACCTGTAGTAATAGTATAGAAAAACATGCAGTTGTTGTACAAATAAACTAAGCGCAATGTTTTATTTATTCTTAAATTTATCTTATAATGTTTCGCCTAAAACACAAGTGTTTGAGATAAGGTATAAACACCCCCCCCCCCCCCCCCCCCGTTTCGTCTATATGTTAAAGTTTAATTTCCTTTGATTAATGATACAGGTTAATACTATCATATTATTGTCAGTGATTAGGTAAGAAGTTTTAGACATTTTAAATTGCCAAATACTCTGATCCTTGCGATTTTTAGAACTGTCAAATAAATTTCTGTCCGCCCGTTTTGGGTTTTGGCAGTTGTAATTCCGGGGACTTCCGTGATTACAGAATTAAACGAGAGAAAAATGCCGACATTGGAGAGAAAATAATTATTTAAAAATATAAGATGGATGAAAAGTTTATACCTGAGGATTTTTATCATTGTATAAGAATTATTTGCAGAGATGGGGATTGGTAATTCAGCTGGTAAGCGGCGCATATAACTTTTAAGAGGAAAAAATTGAGTCTGGGGCACGGAAAGGGGCAAATGAAGTTGCAAGCCTTGTTTCTTTTTAGTATACAGTGGGATATGTCATTTTTAAAGCGTGCATAAAATTGAATTTCCGTGACATTCTAGTGTATGTGAAGCAGAAAGGTTTACAAAAAACTAAAAATTAACACTGCACACTGAAAAAAAATGTTAGAGTAAAGTTCGAATTTCCTTGACAATACATTATATAGAAAAAATACAGTATCCTTGACCCAAGCGCCTATGATGGCTATGCTTAGAATCACTGCAGACCTCTTGACCAATCTTTGTGTTCATGGCAATGCTTAGAATCACTGCAGATGTCTTGGTCTTCACCAATCTTTGTGTTCATGGCTATGCTTAGAATCACTGCAGACATCTTGGTCTTCACCAATCTTTGTGTTCATGGCTAATGCTTAGAATGAGTGCAGACCTCTTGGTCTTGGCCAACCTTTTTGTTCATTAAGACATCCTGGACTTTCATAATAAGGCTACTACTTTTAGAGTCTTATATTCTATCCCTGTGATTTTGACCTCATTCCAGAGTCATGACATATCCTTAGGTAGGATTTAATCAATTGTGATTACAAGTAACTATTTTGCCATATGCTATCTTTCACAGTTTCAAATTTTTTTCAAAGTAATAGCACAAGCAAGAATTTTACTTTTCTGAACCTTTGACCTGATCGTAAGTCATAAATAAACAAAAGGCCCATGGTCCAATATCCCCACCATATTCCTATGCTAAGTTTTGATCCCTGGTTGTGGCCTTGCCTTATACCTGTTGGTCAGGATTTTACTAATTTGGAATCTTCACTACCTTAGAGTGATTTTGTATAGTTAATATGACTAAAATTGGCTTTGTTGTTCTTGAGAAGATATTTTACTAAATATTCCTAAATATTTCTATGTAAAACTTTAATCTCATGATGTGGCACAGCTCTACCCCTGGGGATCATAATTTGAACAAAACTGAATTTACAGTATGGATTAAAGCTTTAATTGAAGTTTCAATTTTTCTAGCCTAGTGCATCTAAGGCTATCTAAATTTAATTCTCTGGTTCTCAGGCCAATTTTCTCCAAAACTGATGCGGGAGGGCGGCATTTTATTTATCATTTTATTGGCAATAAAGTAGATGAGGGAGGTATTTTTTTAATTTTAATTTTCGAATTTTCTTTAACATAAAGATAATTTTTTAATCACAGATATACTTTCCATTTCTGGTCAAAATTTCTGCTTTATCCATTGCTTATCAGCGTGTAAACATCGTAGGTAATGTCCTCGAATGTATTTTCAAACGAAGTAGCCAAAATCTCATTGAAAATGGCTACCGGAAGTGATATTTGAATACTAAATGATGAAACAAATGAGGTCGGAAATTTTTTTTTCCGGATTGGCCTCCGCAGTACCAACTTTTTATTTATCAAAAATACAATAAAATTAGCAATGCGGCTACCTCAAAACGGATGCGCGCGGGCCTGAGAACCAGAATTTCAATTATATATAGCCTAAGAAAGATTTTTCAACAGACTTGGAAAGATATTGTCAAATCAACATGTTGACAGCAATTTGCTTTACAATATTAACTTTGGTACAATGTACCTAGCTGTAAGAAGTTCATTACCCTAAATGGTCTAATAGAGATCAAGCTTAGTATTGTTTTCTCTGTGCTAGATGATAAATTACTTAATATGACATAATATATTACATGCTAAGGCCACACCAATTTGTAACATAGTTCTTCGGATTTTCAAAAATAAAAAGTGAGGCGAGCGAGCGAAAATATTTTACAAATATTATTTTTCATTTTGGGTTTCAAAATTAT